ACAGTGATAGGCATCACTGGCCCTCGCTCGTACCTCTTAGAGCTTCAGGACAGTAGGAACTGGAGAAGGCACATTGACCAACTCTGTGGGCGCCTCTCCAACTCCACTCTTAGACAACCAGAGGTAACTCCTGCATGAGTTAGCCAAAGCCCTACTGAAACAAAGCAAACACTCACTCCTTCCACGGCCAGATCAAGCCCGAGGGTACCAGGAAACTTATCTGGTTATGTTGCAGGCCCGCAGGAAGCTCTGAGCAAACCGGCTCTAGAAGCTCCAGCCATGTCCTGTGAAAGTTTCCAGGAGCTTCCACCAAGCGGAGCTGCAGAGCAAACAGGTCTGTCCGACCTGTCCAAGGAAATCCTTCCTACTGAACTGTGCAAGTCAGGCAGAGCTACCCAAAAGCCTGCCTACCTGCGTGACTACATTACAAGTAGGATTGTTCCAACCAAGAGGGGAGGGGTGTTAGATATTAGTTCTAATTACAGTGGTTTCCACCAAGGTCCTCTGTTCCGGTGGGAACAGAGGTTTAATCCTATTGGTCGAAGGGTCTGACAGCTCCCTATAAAAGGGCTGCTGTCAGACTCAACCTTCGCTGGATTGTTCTCACTTGTTGTACTTAATAAAGAGCTGTTGTTAGTGTTAAGCCTGTGTGTGCCTATCCATTACCCAATCTAACAGAAGGTGAAATATTAACTCATATGGGTTGAGCCTATTCTATTACCGCCACATTTTGGAATGAAATTTATAGGATTGTTAAGAGTGATGTTTACCTGTAAAGAAGGCAACATATTTTCTTTTGGGGTGAGCTTTTCTTCAGCCCCTATGTATTATTGCTACTTTATTAACTTCTATGGCTGAGAGATGGCCCAAAACATTGCCAACACTAGAGTGGCCAAGAAAAGTTTTGGTTAAATGTTTTGGATTTATCGTATTCATGATAGAACTTTCCAGATTACTTATTTTTTTTCTTTAATTTTATTGTTATATAATATTTTACGTGTGTGTTTCATTAATTTATTATAATAAAATACATTATTTTAATAATTATTTAGCCCTGGTATAAATCTTCTTTTATATACCTTGGAACTAAATTTTCATGGTGAACAAAATATGGGGTGCCCCATATTTTCTCCAGGCTCTTGCTACTATAGTTATGAAACAGTCTACACAAAGTATGCCATGTTGCAAGTCTTAGATATTTTCAGGACCAAATAAATATCTTCTTATTTCCCCTAGGCCTTTTAGAATTGAATTGAAAGTAATTGTCAGTTTCAGTGTTATGTGTATTAATTGCTAACTATCCTAGTATTTATAGCTAGAATTTGGATGTAAATCATTAGGTAGGCGTATTTGTTTGTTCTCTGTTCAAGCCATTTATTTCTTGAACTGATAATTCAGCGAACCAACAGAGCATTTAATACAATCTGGATCATTTCAAACATTTACAGGAGTTTGCCTGTTTCAAAGCAGGAGTGTTTTAAATCTCCCTGCACGCTAAGATGCCAGTGGGAAGATGGGGGAAGAGATGAATTGTTGGAAACATAACTAAAAAAGGAAATACATTTTATTTGGGATGGGAGTTGGAGACTGTGAAGTTGTCAATTGTTTCACTGGAAAATACACTGGGTTTCAAGATATGAATTTCAAAAGTTTAATCTGTTCATATTAGCCCTCTATCCTCCCATATCCCAGAACATTATTTTTCTTTTAAATTCTCCAGCAATCTTAAAAAGATCTCTCTTAAAGAAGAAATCACAAGACTGAATTCTGCCACGTATTACTTCATTGAAAAGCAACATTTTTCCTCTCCTAATTTGCTAAAACAAATCCTTAAAATGTTAAGCGTAAATTGCCATGATGGAATGAGTACAGAGAAGAGCAAGTAAGACAATGAAGAAATAGGAGGCTAAATACTACGAAGAACAGTTAAAAGAACTGGGTATGTTTAGCCTAAAGAAGAAAAGGCCAAAGAAGGTTAATAGCAATATCCCAATAACTGAAGCGCTGTCACAGGGAAAACAATATGGATTTATTTGTTGTAGAGTGCCCAAGAGTAGTAGTAGAAGAAGTAACTGGTAGAAACTTTACACAAAAAGTTCCAAAAGAGGTGTGGAATAAACTTGTGTCCTGGAATTGTGGTATTGGAGCAGTGGTGGGATTCAAATAATTTAACAATCGGTTCTCTGCCCTAATGAATGGCTGGGTGGGCGTGGCTCAGTGGTCATGTGACTGGTGGCCGTGGCCAACTCAACGTCACTCACGTCAATGGGCGCTTCGCCTTAGCAGTTACAATGTAATAAGGGTTAACGGGAGAGGCAGTTTCTGTAAGCAGGGCAATAAAGATTAGGCTAGAAATAAAACCAGAATGTTTCCTTCCTGCCTTCCTTACAGGATTAGATCTGTAAAGTGGGGAAAAAAACAAAAAGGAGATTTTTTCCAACAACTGGTTCTTCGAACTGCTTAAAAAGTTAACAACCGGTTCTCCCGAATAGGTGCGAACTGGCTGAATCCCACCACTGGATAGATAGGACAGACAGACAGAGACAGACAGACAGACAGAC